CGAAATGAGTACTATCCTCATTTATTAAAGGTCTACCACACCCTCTTACTTCACCTCTTTTTTTTAGTCTGTTTCTTTCTAGCGTTTAATGTGGTTTAGAGGATTTCTGACTGCAGTTCACGGTGCGGTTCTTTCTTCCTCCCAGTTGACGGAGGAAAGTGGAGCATGGCCCACTCGAACCGATCTACAGAAAAACTCGGGTGGATCGAGGTGGGTCTTGCCACAACTGGAATGATTCTCAGCACACTAGCCCTAAACCAACAGGACCAAATAATGCCAGTCACACCTTCCTGATTCTCTCCCACCTCCCATCCCCGCGTAGCTGCATCGGTCGGTGTGTTGCCAGTCAAAGCCATAAGCCAAAATCCGAGACCGCGATAAGGCCAGAAGAAGCTAGCTGATAAAGGAGTCGCGAGGTGACATAATTCTTTCGTTTTCACCACCGCACAGTTTCCTTCTTCTCCTGCTTCAATCCAAAAAGCAGGATCAAGGGACGTGAGGTGACACGAATATTTCGCTTTCACCACTGCACAGGTTCTTCTCCCTCCTTCCACCCAAAAGAAAAAGAGAATCTTCGTGCACGGAGGAGTTTCAGCGCTCGCGAGGCAGACGCTGGCACGCCTCGTTCACGTCCGCGAGAAATCCGCGCGTTTAGTGCACACAACAGACTCTTGTCAAGAAGTTTCTGCCTGTTCTCACCTCGTAGCGTCGTGCCCGTCATGCTGACATCGATGAAGAGCCTGCAAAGCCCAGTTTGGCATCGCAGTCTGGCGACGCAGACAAGTAAATAAAAGTTGCAAGACGGACACAGACGCACGGCGAAGAAGGCCCAGTTCGCCACTGCAGAGAAGCCAAATGAGTTGCAAGACAGACACAGACCCAAGACGAAGAAGGCCCAATTCGCCACTGCAGACAAGCCAAATGGGTTGCAAGACAGACACAGACGCAAGACGAAGAAGGCCCAGTTCGCCACTGCAGACAAGCCAAATGGGTTGCAAGACAGACACAGACGCAAGACGAAGAAGGCCCAGTTCGCCACTGCAGACAAGCCAAATGGGTTGCAAGACAGACACAGACGCAAGACGAAGAAGGCCCAGTTCGCTACTGCAGACAAGCCAAATGACCTGCAAGACGGACACAGACGCACGGCGAAGAAGTCCAGTTCGCCCAAGCCAAACGGGTTGCAAGACAGACGTCAACACTGATACTAACTCGGTCCACGTTTGGCTCAATAATGGATCGAAGGCTAAGGAACAGTGCGAGCTGTTTCGAGGATGCATGACGAATGGTTGCCGATAACTTAATCGCGGTAGAAACCTTGACGTCGATCGCATGCAGCGATGCGTTTCTACTGCAGGCACACCGTACTCATGCACACCGCACACACAAGTGTTCGCAGGCCACAAATAGTAAACGAGCCGTCAGTAGGTGGACAAAATCAGTTAAAGGACAAACGATGCGGCGTTCCGACACAGCCGCGGCACTTCCACCCCGACTTGCGGTTTTCACCTGGTCGGTTTTGATTCCCGCAGACGACGCAAACGTTGGTACGGCGGTCGGGCGTGGTCATGGCCAGATGAGGAGTCGTGCTGGACAGGTTCGGGCGACTGCCGAAGGACCGGGTCAGCGAGTGGGTGCTGCCGGCACTGCGCGAGAGGCCGTTGCTCCAGCCGCTGCCCTCCCCCCGGGGGGTCAGGGGGTACCGGACGCGGACGCTGTTGCTGAAGATGGGCGAGTTGCGGCCGTTGGCGGCGCCTTCGTAGCTGGCGGACCGCGATTGCCTGGGCGTCGACCGGCCGGCGGCGGTGCTCGACGGGTTTGTCTCGCGGGCGGTGCGAACCCGGACGAAGAACTGCATCAGAGACGGGTCCATGAATGGGTTGGCGACGTCGCACATCGAACAGCACGGTTTGTGCTGCCAGTTCAGGTACGTGCACTGCGGGCAAGCCCACGCATTTACGCCTTCCTGCCGCCTGCGGCCGCGGGTTCCTGCATTGCTTGCATCCAGCAGCCCGTTCGGGTTGCTTGCGTTGCTGCCGCGCACCGTCGCGCCCGCGGCGTTGCTGAAGCTCGGGTCCTGCTGCAGGAAGGCGATGATCGTGTCCGCCAGCCCGTCCGTCGCGACGAACTCCGACTTCGAGATCGAGTTGGACCCGCTTTGGTCGAACAGCGGCCACACGGACTCGACAATCGCTGTCACATCCTGCTCGCGCTGCGCCTGCGGTATTTTCGTTGTGCTACGCGTCCTCGTGGCTGCGAGTACTCACCCGCCTAAGGTTCTTGGCAACAAAAAGTTCAGCGCCCGAATCCAAGCAGTGTTTCTCAGCTACAGGAAGCAAAAGTCGTAACACGTAGGTATGCATAGCACCTCGGTGTGCATGCTACGCTGCTACATGGTATACAAGCCACCTACAGCCCGTATAGCTACGTGGTATCCTCCTCTGCTACTACGTATGCACTGCGTAGTGGTTTATCACTACGTAGGAGAAAGAAGAAAAGGGAAACTAGAGTTTTCGTTGACTGCACTACCTGAACCCATATCCTGGATGTGGTTTCAGGCGGCAGATTGGGAAATGAGCATGATCAGAAAGCCCTAGTCGGGCGGTTCAGTTTCCTCACACGTTGCATGTGGCCAAAAGAAAGAACTGTGAAAACGGGCTCGAGAAGCGGTACACACCTCGTCGTCGGCTCGCTCGAACGTCTTCACCAGCGCGCGGACGACTTCTGCCTTCGTCAGGTCCCCGGTTTCGGATTGGTCCCAGAAGTCGAACCACCCGTTCTTGTCTTCTGCGATGTGGGGGCACGAAGTGCCCTTACGCATGGCTGCCCCCAGCTTCTCGTGCACGTAGTCGAGAAGCCCGCCGGCATCGGCGAGCTTGATCGTCCCGCACGCGTCGGGGTCCCACTCGTCCCATCGGTCGCCGAGGACTTCCTCCAAGTCCTCTTCGGAAACGAAGCACGTAGATTTCACGACTTCCTTGACTTCTTCTTTAGACAGTCGGCCTGTTTGATCAACGTCGACCAGCCTCAACCACTGCGCGTGAGGCGTGAGTTGTGAAAAAAAGAGGATGGTGAGCTCGAATAGTGTTGTCATGTTTCCCTTAGTAAAAGAGGATGATGGTTGTCATGTTTCCATTGGTAAAAGAGGATGATGGTGTTGTCATGTTTCCATCAGTGAAAGAGGATGGTGGGCTCGAATAGTGTTGTCATGTTTCCATTAGCAACAGAGGATGATAGGCTCGAATAGTGTTGTCATGTTTCCACTAGTGAAAGAGGATGGCGGGCTCGAATAGTGGTCATGTTTTCATTATTCTACGCGTGATCATTTGCAATGCACCTCTGCGCTGGCCATGGTAGATGAGCTTGCTGCGAACCATGCTTCAACCTTTTAAGCCTAAACCTGTGTAGCTTTGGAAACCGGTACAGAACAAAAGCACATACCCCCCTCACATCCGAGTCGGGATCTGGCATTCTGCAAATGCCGTTGAACGACACTCGGCACATCGGGCACTTGAGATCACCGGTTGATAGGTTCTCGATTTCCATCTCGAGGCCGTAGCCTCTCGTGATGAAGGGAGACATGCCCTTGATGCAGTCGTAGTGGAAATAGTGGTTGCAGACCTGTTTTGGGGTTGAAGGTGGTGGAAGCAAGAGGATGAAGCCAAACGGATACGAGAGGACTCTCACCGAACCAGCGTTCTCATTGCCGCCGCTACCGCAGTCAAGTGTGGTACTCATGAGACTGCAGTTGCTGGTTTGCGAGGATAGTTGAGTCGCAGTTTTTGAAAGTTAATTAACCGCTCTCGGAAGCAGTGACTCTGACTCACTCTGACTATGCCATGGGGCATCCAATACACCCCAAGAGAGGTAAGGAATCAATTGCTTTGCAACACGAACTCACTATGTATAACTAACTAAACTCCAGTAGCTGCCACAACTGGCGGCTGCACGACGACCACCAAAGCGTGGCAGAAGCCTTCTCCATGGTGCTTCATCGCGAAGGTGCACTAAGGTTGGACTTCAAAAGCATAAAAACAATACCCTAGACCGCGTTTCCTTGGCCATCAGGACGCCGACGGAGTCACTGGGGAGGGGTTCGAAGCAAATGCAGCATTCGTGCGAAGCTGACATCTCTACCCCCCCTGTGCCCACGCCGATCGAATCCGACGTGGGCGCGCTAGTTCGGCCGTCGCCTTTGAGGTTGTGCGCCGACACGGCGTGCGTCTGCACAGAAGGAGTCCAGCGCCCGGGGACCCCAGCTTCTCGGCTGTTCAGTACGCCCAGGCCCCCCGGCTTAGTCTTTGTTCAGGTACACCTGGGGCAAGGTGTAGGGAAGGAAGAAGCGGGGGGGTCAAGCTGTGTGGCTTTGGATTCGAAACCCTTATCTTTTGGACTGGAGGCAGTATAGGTTGTATACCCAAGGTAGGACCCAGTAGTAGTAGTAGTAGTTTTTGAACTTGTTATGCAGCAACAATCTGTGTCGATAGACTGCACAAGCCGCTACAGACTACCTCTTTGCACGCGTCGTGTCATGCTTCGGTCGCTTCTTGCCCCGCGTACTGTTTGTCTCCGGTGCACGCTTCACGTCCAACGTGCAGTTTGATGACGAGCTCGAGGAATCACCAGATGATTCGGCGCACTTCCTTTTCTCCCTCGCGGGCTGTCCCCGCGGCCGAGATCTCGACTCCCCTATGTTCCTTGCTTTCACCTGCTCGGCTTCGCGGCTCCGCTTCGGCTGGGTTCGTTGCTGTCCACCTTTGACGTGCGCCCCTCGTTCACAGGCGGTTGCTGCGGCCTCGGCTTCTTACGGGTGCTTCCACCTGCTTGCTCGCCGTCGCGTCCGCGCTTCCGCTGGGAGCAGACGCCGTCCGTCCCTATTGCACGTTCAACGTCCGGTGGTCCCGCGGCACCCAGTACTAGTAGTAGTTTGAACTTGATATGGAGCAACAATCTGTGACGATAAACTTCACAAGCCGCAACAGACTACCTCTTTGCACGCGAAAAGGTGATACTTTCTCGATTAATGCGTGTCATCCTTGCGCAGGGACCATGCTAATCTTCTCTGTATCGATCCAATTTACGGGTTTTCGGGTGTGTTGTTTGCCTGGCTACGGAGTCTACCGTGGGTCAGCTCCAGCCCTTTCCCGACGACAGGCGTGGGACTCGCGCTTGATTTTGAGGCCTTTGCACGGTCGAAGCTCCCGGGGAGAACGTTCGCCGAGAAGGGGTTGCCAATTGGGTACCTTATGCGAGCCATCAACGACCTACGTTGCGCCGACTCAGGAGTCGCCTCCTTCCCTGGGAAATGGCGGCAGGGGGTCTGTGCATTGAAACACCCCGCCCTCAGCCCCAAAAGTGTCTCAATTACAAGCGTTTTCTGCTGTCTCAATTGCACGGGGAGGGTAATTAGTTTGGGAAATCGGTAGCCACTTGACCCGTAGGCCCGTGGCTGTAGCTTGGCTCCCCCATGCTAGCTAGTTTTCCCTGGTACCAAAGTGCAGACGTTTAGAAGAAATGTGAAAACGGGTTTTTGCCTAGAGGCTTTTCGTGTTATTTTGCAAATGCTTTGAGCCATCTTCGTGTCTGTGCTTTCAGTCGTCTTCTTAACCATGGTTAAGTGCGTAAATGGTGTCAGCCGAAGCTGGTAAAGCTTCGGCGCCGCCCACGTTATGTTTGTTTAGCATTGAGTTCTTTTAAGTACATGAACCACATGGATTAGCATGCACTGCCTTGAAAGTCAGGTTATCGGATGACGTCGTCACCTGCCATTGCGTCGTCAAGGTCGAGCATTTGTGGCGCTAGCGGGATTTGGCTTTCTTGCGATTCCAGAGACTGAGTCGGCGAGTACGAGGGCGGGCACGTGTGCCCGTTTTTCACTTTCGAAGGCATTGGTGTGCCCGTGGTCCCCGGTCGTTTCTGAGAGCTGCTTGCCCTCGGAACCTTCTTTTTCCTTCGATGCACCCCTGAGTCGGGTGTGGTCGCCTTCGTCTTCTTCCGCTTGCGGCCGGCGATCGGGCCTTCCTTCGGGGTGCCGAGCACCCTCTTCTTCAGCGCTGGTCGTTCGCTGGTTCCTGGCGTTGGTGGCGGCCTCTTGGTCGCCCGTCCGGTCGTCGCCGTCTCCTTTTTCGTTGCCGCGAGCGGCGCTCGCGCCGCTCGCGCCGCTCGCGCCGCTCGCGCCGCTCGCGCCGCTCGCTTTCCTACTGGCGTTTCCCGTTGTACGCCCACCTGGGTGGGTGAGGAGGGCCTCTTCTTCTTGTTGCGTCCGGGGGTTGACTGGACGTTCGGCTTGTTGGACTGGTGGTGGCCGCGGCTGCAACATGCCGCCGGTCGCCTCTGCGTCAGCGTAGGGAGCCTTTTGCACTCTTGGCAGGTTCCTCTGCCATGCGTGCGGCAGGCATGATGCCCGCTGCGGCAACACGCCGCCGCCGTCTTGCACTCGCCGCACTTCGTCGTGCTGTGCCCTGTGCACACCGCGATCGGCTGCCCATCGTTCGCGTGGTGATGGTGCCGGCAGCACATCTCTACCGTGGGAACGTCCCTTCGGACGAGTGCTCTGCACGCCTCACACTTCCCTTTGTGATGGGTCGCGCACGTGACGAGTGCCTTCTCTATATCGACACCCGGCATATGCACGGGGTCTGGGTGCAGTTGTGGTGGGGCAGGCAGGGCCCACCTCGCCGCTCTCCCGATCGTCCAGTCAGGGTACGCCGGGCACTGCGTCCCTACATCGCTTCCTTTCACTTGTTCCTCAAGTATCGTCCCCGTGTGTGCCTCGCGAAAGCGTGGCCTGGGCCGTATACCCGATATCCCCGAGATGCCCATGAACGACAGCGACGTCGTCGGGCACACCCTCTCCCCTCTCATGCAGCTTCCCAGCCCTTGCTGTGCCGCCAGCTTGTCCAACGCGCTCATCATGCAGCGCAGGACGTTTCCCCGTTCTCTCACCCCCTTCGGCGCATTCCCGTGCAGCGGCATGCTGAGGCCCGAGAAGAGTTCAAAGTCGATCGCAAGCTCTAGCATTGACGCCTGCCCGCTCTCGGTCCACTGCATGTCAGACAGCCACGCTACCAACGCATAAAACGTCGGTAGTCCCCAGGTCTTGTTTCGCTCCCACGTCCATGCCGGGGCAATCCGCGCAAAGGGGTGGTCAAATTTCTCGGCAGGCATCGCATCCGCTCTCGACCAGGGGGTCGTGGGGTTCCTGGCTACCCAGCCACGTGCTTCGAGCCCTGCCCGTTCCGCAAGGATTTCAGCCATCATCTCCTGGAGCCGCCTCGATAAGTGGGCGTTCCCCGGTACAACCACACCATGTTCCAGCGTGCATCGGGGCCACTCGGTTCGGTTGGCCGCCATCAGCCCGGCGTGTGCTTCCCGCCGGCGAATGTGTGAGTATGCGTCGCAGTCCCAGTAGATATGCTGTTCGTTCTCCGTCACGCCGCTCCCACAGTGCTTGCAGCTGGGCGCCTGCGGCTCAGCTCCGGCCTGCCTCATCCGCGACGTGAACTCCGCCGTGTTCACACCCCCCGCAATCGCAACTCGAATTAGCTTCGCCGTGTGCGCGGAACATTCCCTCGTCTTCCAGAACGCATTCGTGCGCTCCAAGTCGGCTCTTTCCAGCCCCTGATATCCTGGCCTTCTCGCCATCAGTCGGGCCCACGTCCTCGTTCTCAGGTCCGCCCTCACTTCGTGCCCCCTCTTCGAGGGCGACGAGGCCAGCGGGTCGAACACTGCACCATTCCGTCGTAGCGTGCGAGATAGGGGCCCAGGTTCCCATATGTGTCCACACTCCTCCATGCTCCTCATCGTCAGCCCGACTGGGTCGAGGGGTTGGTCCCCCTCGGCGTACCGCCCCCGGATACTCTCCATCAGAACCTTCGACACCGGCGCGAAGGAGCAGCCTGATAGCGCTGCCGGCAACACATTCGACTGCACAATACGGACCCGCTTTTCGTACCGGAACGGCGCGTGGCGGAGGCCTTCCGCTAGGGCCGCCGCCCTCTCTACCCTCTTAGAGTCGGACCTCTCCTTTCTGTTCTTCGCCGTTGAGACTAGGGCCCCCAGACACGTGACGGACTTGCTAAATCGAAGCAGCGGCTGTAAATCGCCCTCAGCGGCTTGAGAACCCGACCGTGCAGTCCTAAGTCCTCAGCCAAGCGTAGCACTACCTCTCGCGGGACCATGTCGAAACACTTCCGGAAGTCCAGCGCCACTCCGTAGAGCGGCTCTCCGTCCAGCAAGGCGTCCTCCACCTCGAGCCCTATCTCCAACAAGACGTCCTCGATCCGGTGGCCCGGCCGAAAGCCTTTCTGTCCTTCTTCGATCCACCCCTCCTGCCACAGGACAATGTCCGCAAGCCTGCGGCAGGCCCACAAGCGGTACACGGCGGATGTGACGGTTATCGGCCTCGTGTGCAGCGGGTCTTGGCTCTCATCTTTCGGCACCATCGACACCAGCGCAGTTGTCATGCTTGCCGGCCAGTCCCCAGTCGCTTCGACCAGGTTCATGACGTCTGCAAGTGCATTCAGCAGGGGGAGCGGCAACTCCCGCAGTTCAGCCATGCGCCAGCCATCCACCCCTGACGCGCTTTTCTTCGGCTTCTTCCTCAGCAGAATTCGCAGCTCCTCCCCCGTGATTGTTCCGGCTTCCATCAAGTGTGGGCCGATGTGATCCTGGAACCGATCCCGAAACGGCTCGTACTCCGGCTCTGGCCCGTCCTTGTACTTACGCAGGATAGGGTCCCACGCAGTGTTCAGCGCCTCGTCCATCTCGTCAACATTTGCAGTCACACCCGCCCCCGTTCGCAACACCCCCGACGGCTCAGCGCGTCCGGCGCAGATGGTTGTCAGACATCGTCTGCTCGCATCGGCCCTCTCGTTCAGCTTGTCTCGGTACTTCGTAAACCTGGCCGCCGATCCTTCCCTTCCGAGCCTACTCGTCTCTTCCCGCAATGCCGTGAGAAGCTGCTTCGCCTCCTCATGATCCGGGAATCCTTCTGTCCCTTGGCCACCTTTCATGCACGCCTGTGCCAGCCGTCTGCTGTTCTGCCAGCAACGGGATACTTCATGCGGAACTGCCTCCGGCCCGCGTCGCTGCGCAAGGTAGCTGCAGATGCGTTCCATCCTGTGGATGGCCTTCCGGAGCCGTAGCTGTCTGCTGTTCGCCGCCCCCGACCCGTCGCTCGCAGTGCTTGCCGTGATACAGACTCTCTTAGGCGACGTCTTTATCCCCCGGCCGGTACTCCTTCCCCTTTCTTCCGCAGGGATTCCGAAGGCATCCTGCAAGTACTGCTCACTGACTCGTGACCACTCGAGCCAGGCCTCTTCCACTCGCTGTGCTGCCAGCCGTTCTGCGAAATCGGAGTTGGTCAGTCTCTGTACGGCTTCCCTGTTAGCTTCTGTGTCCGAGAGGCCCCACTTGGGTCCCCCCTCGGTAGGGATTTCCCGCGGTACTTTAAATCGCCACACGATTTGGCGCAGCGCCGCAATGTCCAGGGTCATTGTCACGAGCCGGTGTCCCGGTACGTTCACCGCGGTGGTGACGCATTGACGGAAAGCTCCCGTCGTTATTCGGTTGAGGAGTATGCGGTCGATCCTCGTGCCTGTCGTCCGGGCGCTGGTAAAGGTCGGTGGTGGCGGTGTGTCACCGGTACGCGCATGGTGCAGTTCCGCTGCGTCGGACCATCCGTTCCTTAGTGCCTTCCGCAGCACAGGGGACCGGTCTTCTTCCGTGTTCAGGTCACCCATCACCATTATGGGGACGTCACCGAGGCTATCTGCCGCTGCGAAGAGGATCTTCTCCAGCATGTCCTCACGCTCCTCGCTCTCCGCCCTCCCGTTTCCGGAAGGGCAGTAGACATTGAACACGTGCACGAACGTGTTGCCGGCCCCTGTTGCTACTACCGTATGGCTCACTCGGTCCGGGGACCGTATTGCTGCGTGCGAGAGCGCCGTCATCGTATCGTACGCAGGTATCGGTCTCAGTACTAGAGTGGAGAGCCCCCCGTTCGCGGCGTTCACCGTCGAGCGACTACCGGAGTTTCTACAGAGTCTTCCGGGAGGCGGCAGGCCCCAGTGGCAGCACCATTTCCGCAGGTATTCCTCCGCCTGCG